CCTTTCAACTTGATCATCTTTGAATTTTAAATGCTTATTCAATTACATCACACTTTCCAGTTACAGCTACAAATTTGCAGCTGTATTTAATTGAACGATGATTCGGAATTACGAATCATAATGCAATCGAATTGCTGCTTTGTATATATATAATTATAATTCGTCGAGTAAATCAATCGCAATTCTACGAACTGCGATGCACATACGCGACGGTCAATGTGTTATGGTCGCGCGAACATTGGTATTTCGAGTTCAGCCGAGCAATTCCTCGATAAACCGTCGATCACACGACGTTGTTCGTCGTAACACGATTCCTCCAGGAATATAAAAACACGCGTCTCTCCGACAAGACTGTAAATAGAAAATAGGCGTACGATGACCCTCCGCCTTAAGGTTCCCTCACACTACTCCCAACATTTAAGTGCCTAAAAACCGGAAGAAATCGCGTCAATCCTCCTCGAATCCTCGTTGTCTAGTTTCTAGAAGCGGATAAGATACTATTTTCTCGGCTAAACGCGAGCGATTCGCGACGAACCCTTTTTTCCCCTTCATTGCGGAACTTTCCTCCGCGAAGAAAATGATATTTATTTATATATTATATATTATATATTTATGATATATATTTTATTTATCCTTTGTCTTACGATTTCTTCATCGTTGACTATTGGCATGAAAATTCGTCAATATCAGTTTTAGTAAATTCATGTACAACAATCTATATTTGCATAAGGACTCGTGATTTAAATGTACAGAAATGTTGCATTCAATGTTCTGCATTCTAGATCGTTGATCATTTTACGTTTACTCTGATAATTAGGTCTTGGTAACAGCGAAACAGTGTCCCATTTCGATTCATAAAGGAAGTCAGACAAATAGCTTTTGTATATGCGATTATCTGCAATTTACCTCGTGGAGAAAGAAAAGCTTCGAGAAACGAACTATGGTAACGAACGGTAATTGAAAACGTGCGGTAATAATGTACAGATTTACATACACTAAAGTTGATCAAAATGGTTTAACATTCTATATTCGCACCTACGTTTGCATCCCTATCTTTTAAATAACAAACTTTCTTGCATCTAATTATACACTTCTTTGTCCTCCACAAAAACGTCTGTGCACGTATTTAAACGGTCTCGTTGCGATCAAAGACATTTTTAGGTTACACCTATTTTTCGTTCCTTGCTTTCGGTTAGCATTTTCATAATTATGAAGTCGGTGTAAGAAATATTAAAAAAGCATCGAGGCCAGCAAATGTCACCTTGTAAGTCCGGCATCCCTTTTGAGAAGAATCTTGCTAAATTATTATACATATATTCACAACGAATAGTAAAGAACGCTAGAAAAATTCAACGACACTGTTTTACTATTATCGCAACGTTAAAATGATTGAAGAAGGCACATTTTCAGTTAACCTCCGTAATCGATAATTCTCTTCTAAAAGTTGAGTTTTTTATATGAAGGTCCACAGTTTATAAAATATAGACATTTAACGCGCCGATCTCGCGTCCGGTGCAGCGAAAAAAAGGGAGGCAACCCGAGCCGATGGAACAGTATTTTATCCGACCGCTAGTTTCGCGTCACAGTGGAGGAAATATCGTCGTTCGACACCCTCAGCAGATCTCAGCACTCTGACGAAACGAGACCGTGGATCGTTTATTTTTTATTCGCGCATATGAAAAGTCCCGCTCGTTTCCGTGGAGCGCGTTTAACGAATATCCGCGTTCGCAGGGCGCACCGGCCGATCGTTGATGACGACTATAACGCGTAAGGTGCACACCGAACAATATAAACTATGTATGTATATATAATAGCGGTACCGCCGAGTTCACGGATGGGTATGTACAAAGAGAAAGAGACAACTAAGCAAACCTAGTACAACCGGAACGATGTTTCACCCCTTGTCCCAGTGATAATTGTACAAACGATGCATACAAGCGATGCGCCCGTGCACTTCTGCGAACGCGACGCCGGCGCGTTCGTGTATATTAATTATTACATATATAATATTATATATATATATATATATATATATATATATATATATATATATATATACATGTATGTATGTATGTACGTATACATATATATACGTATAAACGAACAAATGAATAAAAGTGAAAATAAATAAATAGATATATATATACAGAGAGATACATACATACATACACACGCACACGCATACATACATACATACATACATACACACAGATAGACAAGTGTGTCCGTAGATAAGGAACCTTGAGGTCGCGGACCGGGTCCCCGGAACCGGAAATACGTATTTTGTTGCGCGCGACAGAGTAAAAAAAAGAAAGAGAAAGAAAGAAAGAAGTCAATTGTTTCGATTTTACGCGAGAGAAGAAAAAAAACCCCTGTGCATCACTTGTAACATATGTACCTCTAGAACGTTTCATAGTTTAAATTAGCCTTCGGGTTATCGGTCGAGGATCGGCGGTTCGATCGACAGTTTTCTTCGAGACAACGAGACTCACGGAGCTTAGGAAGAAGCGGGTGTAGCAAGGAGGAGGGACGCTTCTGGGGAAAATGGAGAACAAAAAGATTTCGATGCTTGGTAATCCGAGGGTTAAGACTGATTCAGCAAAGCACGCTGTAAGAAAGCCAGATCGAACGTATTTTGTAATTATACTATTATTATTTTATTATTATTATTAATATTATTATTAATATTATTATTATATTATATATTATTATTATTATTATTAATATTATATTATATTATATTATTATTAATATTATTATTGTTTGTAATTACGGTTACTATCGAATTTGTTTTTAATAAACGGCAGGTGCCATGATTACAAGTTTGTCGAGCGGATTTCTTGTTTGCGGTACATCTGTTTTCCCTTTTTCCCTTTCTGATGATCCAAATATTTTTTATATCGTAGGATTCTGAAGGATGTGGGTCCTAGATTGTACGAGATCGTGAGCATCGTTCAAGTATTTCGGTGTAAGTATATAATCCTCCAGCTTTCAGGTAACGTGATTGCTAATGTTAAACGGACTTATAATATTTTTTATAATTAATAATAGTATATAATATATAATTATAATATTATATACAGGGTGATCCACAATTATTTTAACAGCCGAAAATGAGGGATAGCTGAGGTCATTTGAAGTAACTTTTTCCTTTGCGAAAATGCAATCTGCGGCTTTGTTTACGAGTTATTAACGAAAAACACTGGCCAATGAGAGGTGACGGTGCGAGAGAGAGAGAGAGAGAGAGAGTCCGCGAGAGAGTACGCAGCACGAGGCTTTGACAGATGGTCGGGACGGACTCGAGCCGCGTTCGAAGTTTTGAACAAATCACGAAGCGAGAACTTTCCGGATTTTTTTTACTACGTAACAGTGATATTTTTAAGAAAAACGCTGTTCACCTTTACTTTAGAACGTCTGAAGAATATTTACTAATTTTTCGGACCCGAAATGGTAAGTAATTTAACCGTGACGGCCGTTTTAATTTTCTAGTGTGCATGACACCTTGTGTGTAACATATGAAATATTTAAGCAAGGTGTACAGTGAAGATTAACAAAGTACGTAAATGATATTTTAATTTAAATAATTCCGTGTCCGAACACAGTTCAACGAATGACTCGCAAAGCTAATTTAATAAATAATAATCGTGTTAAAGGACGTAAGGGATATGTTTGTTAGAGAAATATGAAGAATATTATCAATAAGAAGCTCACCCATTTGGTTGTAAATCCACATCATGCGCGGAAATGTGTGCAGGATAGTGCATTGACCTCGTACAATGTCAAGGTTATGTCAAGGCCATGTCAAGGTCATGTCAAGGTTATGCCAAGGACATGTAAAGGTCATGTCAAAGTTATGTCAAGGTCATGTCAAGGTTATGCTAAGGTCAACATATAAAAAAGTAAATGTTGAAATTGCCTGCCCGGAAACATCCTTTTGTTCGTCGCCGTCGGATATATGAAGTAGATTTTACAACTAAACGGGTGAGTATCTTATTTTTGGTAATATTCTTCACATTTCTCTAACAAACATATACCTTATGTCCTTTAACACGATTATTATTTATTAAATTAGCTTTGCGAGTCATTCGTTGAACTGTGTTCGGACACGGAATTATTTAAATTAAAATATCATTTACGTACTTTGTTAATCTTCACTGCACACCTAGCTTAAAAATTTCATATGTTGACCTTGGCATAACCTTGACATGACCTTGACATGTCCTTGGCGTAACTTTGACATTGTACGAGGTCAATGCACTATCTTGCACACATTTCCGTGCATGAAGTGGATTTTACACAACTAAATGATTAAATATCTTATTGATAATATTCTTCATATTTCTCTAACAAACATATCCCTTATGTCCTTTAACACGATTATTATTCATTAAATTAGCTTTGCGTATCATTCGTTGAACTGTGTTCGGACACGGAATTATTTAAATTAAAATATCATTTACGTATTTTGTTAATCTTCACTGTACATCTTGCTTAAAAATTTCATATGTTAGACACAAGGTGTCATGCACACTAGACAATTAAACCGTTTTAATTACTTACTATTTCGGGTCCGAAAAATTAGTAAATATTCTTCAGACGCTCTAAAGTAAAGGTGAATAGCGTTTTTCTTAAAAATATCACTCTTACGTAGTAAAAAAATCCGGAAAGTTGTCGCTCCGTGATTTGTTCAATACTTCGAACGCGACTCGAATCCGTCCCGACCATCTGTCAAAGCCCCGTGCTGCGCGCTCTCGAACTTCGCGCCGTCACCTCTCATTGGTCAGTGTTTTCTGTTAATAGCTCACAAACAAAACCGCAGATTGCATTTTCGCAAAGGAAAAAGTTACTTCAAATGACCTCAGCTATCCCTCATTTTCGGCTGTTAAAATATTTGTGGAACACCCTGTATATATATTAATATATAATGTATAATTATTTTTTATATATAATTTCTTTACTTGCAATATGTAATTTTCAGGAAAGTAAGTTCTCAATGAAAATACAAATTGTATTCGAACAATCGTTTACTGCCATGATGTACAACGAGATTATCTGTTACCTACATTTTTAATTTTTTTCACTTAAACTATAATTAGATATATTATATTAATTAATTGCCCTTAATTTCTACTTAAGCATATCGATATATTCAGCTGTTTTATATACTATAGAACAAATGAAATTAATTTCTCCGGAAGAGATTGTATATGTTTTTGTTATACCTTTAGCATATTGCTGAAATTATTTCTGCTTACTAGAATAACTGTTCAAAGTTGCTAGACAAAAAAAGGTAAATATTGATCGTGCGGTGTAACTTCTGTACGGTCCCGTTACTGTAACGTGTCAATGATGCGTGCACAATTTTCATCGGTAGACAAACATTGTCCGAAAGCCTCGAGAAGCAGCGGTTCCTCCATAACAGCCAACTTATAGTCTTGAAAGGAGATTTTTCCGTCACGATCCACGTCGAGTTTCTTCAACACCAATTCCGACAGATCTTTTACCGCCTCGTCTGGATCTTCTTCTCCCGGCTGCTTCATCAGACACTTTCTACAACCAGAAAGCAATTTCTAACAAAAACATTTTGGGTAAACATACTCTTAGTGTACAGGTCTTCACAAAATATAGGGAGGACCGGAATTCGTAGACCAACCGAGCAATGGGTGATTCTACGTGAAAAATAAGAAACAAATTTGCTATAACATTTTTTTATCCGGAGCTCCGTTTTTGAGAGAATCACCTTTAAAATCATCTTTGTAAAGGACAGTGTTTATATAAACCTTCATCTTAGATAGTGTTTATAAACATTAATTGTTCCAAATTATGTCCTGTCCGTCGCTCAGAAGAAGTCAGTTGTTTCGGCAGAGGGGGAAGGGGGTTATTCCGCTCGCAGCCCCTCATCTGCACGCCCGTAGTCAACACTTTTCTATGACCTCCCGAAACCCACTTCTATTGGTAAGCGAGAAGACCCACAAGCTAATCGACCCAAGGAGCAAGGGGGGTCGGTCGCCCGCCCCACCCAAATACTTCTTTTGCTCAGCGGGTAACTTAGTCAATAATAATCAAAAGTCTGAAAATTGGAAGAAGCTAGGTGAAGCGGGCGACCGATTCCCCTTGCCCCTTGCGTCATTTAGTTTATGCATGGTGTTTAATTTTCTCGTTTCCCTACATTACCCTCAGATTCTTAATGTTGTACTTTAATAACACATTGCAAGCCTACGAACATGAGACTAATATTGCACGAACCATATATGATTATTTCCAATTAGTTATTGTATAGTGTCTAACATTTATGATGACCGTTTAAAAAAATCATACGATATAACATAAATATAAAAACTATGTTTATAATACAGCACGTTTGCTGCCCAATGCAATGAAATGTTAATCAAAATGCTAATTAGTCATTAGTAATTACAAATAATCATGTGTTCATCAGAAGAATCTGAAGTTAATGCTTTAGGGACAAGTCAACGCTCTTGCATCTTGTAATTGTTGCGTCTGTTCCACTTTGTCTCGATTGTTCTACACCTCCTGACTCCCGTCGCGCGTCTCGCTCGCCCGTGATCGCGTAAATGATACACACACTCCCACACAAAGCACAGACACAAGCGTCTGATGTGCTCCTAGCTCAAAATGGCGATCACGGGGAGGGAGACGTGACGGGAATCAGGAGACGTTGTTTGTTTTTATTCGGCCGAACTCGAGTCCCCCGTTTCGTGAAAATTCAGTGTAGCGGTTAATTTGGGGCCGATATGAAGGAATCATTTCTGCCAATAAAGGAAACGCGTTTACCCTACTACAGTAATGTCTCCCTAACTGACACTCAGATTGTCCACAGAAATGGACAATTTGGGAAGAGGAGATGCGATTGTTCAAGCCTTTTGGCTCGTTTTTATAGTTACCGATTGCCAATAACTATAAAAACGAGGTGTAAGGTTCAAATAATCGTATCTTCTCTTCCCAAATTGTCCATTTTTGTGTACAATCTGGGCGTCAGTTAGGGAGACATTACTGTACTGCGAGCACGTTAACATAAAATCGATCCTACACTTTTCTCAGCTGTTTTCTTCTGAACAA